ATGTTTAATAAAATGTGTTCAAAGCTGGATGTTTGTGCTCCTTAGAAGTCCAGGTAGTTGGTAAGTGGTATCGCCAATTGCTTTATAAAATAAGAGATTGTGAAAGGTGGCATTTTTAGGATATACATGACAGAATGAGTCAGTTTCTGGAAATTATCACCACTTTTGAAAATCATGTCCATGAATAGGCTTGGGGTGGCCACAAGCCTGTGAAATCGTGTGGAAAATGTTCACAGTGGGGAAGTTTCCGGGGTACAAGGACCACTGGTATAAGAGGTAATTACAAGGGCCAGGGATGTAGTTCAGTGGTTTTGCCGCCTGCTGCGCAAGCGCAAGGACCTGAGTTCGATTCCAGGAACCAAAAAAAAAAAAAATTCTTATGTTTATTGGGCTGGGGATTTAGCTCAGTGGTTTTGCTGCCTGCTGCGCAAGCGCAAGGACCCGAGTTCGATCCCCGGTACCAAAAAAAAAAAAAAAAAAGACGTAATTACAAGACGCAGAGGAAACCCATGGGCATGGCTTTCCATCTTTCTATTTGGTACCCCAGGAATATGACTGTTAAATGGCTTATTGTCATGCTTTCTTTCTGTATCTGTAATAAAAAGTACATTAATAACAGTTGTTAAGATGCTCTTCCATAAAGAATTTCATAATGATTGTAAAAATTAAGCAAAAGCTGAATCACTTGTTATTTTCTAAAGGATTGAATTACACGTACAGTGCTTCTCAGGTTCCACTCTTACCCATTTATTTTAGCTCAGAGACATGACACTCTGCATGAATCGTACGTTAACCAGGGTACATTTTGTAATTTTAATAAGAATTTTTATCTTTAAAAATGAAAGTTTAAAATTACCTCAGTAGTAGTCATATTAAATGTGTCAAAATACCTTTAAAAACTTCCTCTAATTTCATCTGGAAAACTATTATGGGAGGAATTTGTAGAATTGCTAAGCCCTGAGAAATGTTTCTGTTTTCCATTATTAGTAAGGATTATGCAGCAAAAAAACTGCTTATATGAACTCAAAATTAAAAGTTAGTTTTTGAGATAAAATCTTTTTTTAAGAACTGGACAGAATATTCTTTTTAAAAACCTCCCATCCCATTTATTAATTCACTACAGAGATTTATTCCAGAGTATATATCAAAAGATAAGAATCTCTACAAAAAATAACTTATCCAGAAAAGTCAGCAGCAGCAGGTACAGGGGAAGCACATATTTTTCAGTTTGTACATACTCGTGGTTCTCTTAAACATCCTCTGGAACTGCTTAGAAGACTGGAGAATTTCGTCTCCTAGAAACTCACACTGCTGAAGCTCGGCATGTCTCTGGGCCAACAGCTTTGTGGATTTATCCGTCACTGTTTCTATAAGGCCGTCCACCTGCATTTGAAGCTTTCCTATTGTCAGATCTGATTTTTGGAGGATGTTTTCCATGCCACGTTTCTTTTTGTTTTGTTTTGTTTTTGGTACCGTGGATCGAACTCAGGTCCTTCTGCTTGCGAGGCAGGAAGTGGAACCACTGAGCTAAATCCCTGGCCCAGCAATTTTGGTTTTAATAAAACTATGGACACCAAAAGGGGCCCCTGCTAGTAATAGCCTAGGTTTTAGAGTAACGTTCAAGCGGTGAGCTGTGCACACAATCCCTGGGCCCCACTTCCTGTCATCCCCCATCACACTTCCTGTGTTCTGGTCAGATGGGTCTTTTGGGAGTTTCTTGAACACTTAGGATCTTCTCTTGCCCCTGGGACTTCACCCACACACTTTCGTCTATCTGGAAGGAATTCTTTTTCCCTTTCTCCTCCGGGTTTCTCACTCATGCTTCAGAACCAAGCTCAAGTAACGGCTCTCTGCCACCCAGTCAGACATTCTCCGCCATGCTGTCTTCGATAATCATTTGTATTGAGCCTGTTGGTTGCTTGTGCATTGCTCTAGGACTATCAGCTCCTTGAGACTAAGGTCTCTGTCTATGACACCTCACTTGTTATCTCCGTACTTAGCAAAATGTAAATATTTACTGGATAAATGAGTAAAGGACTAAATATGGCCACAAAACAATAATTCTCTATGTATATGAGAAAGCATTATGGTCAGGGGTGTAGCTCAGTGGCACCACACCTGCCTGGCAGGTGCAAGGTCCTAAGTTCCATTCCTGGTATGGGGGGTGGGGAATGCATTACTATATCGCAAGAACATTAGATATAGTATTTCTCTTAAGAGCCACACTCATGCTGGTGGGAAATGGGAAAGAACAGTTCTCTTTAAAGACTAACTGGTGGGCCAGGGATTTAGCTCAGTGGTGCCAGCGCCTGCCTCACAAGTGCAAGGTCCTGAGTTTGATCCCCAGTACCAAAAAACAAACGAACAACAAAAAAGACTAACTGGTGGGACCTTTCTCTTCTATTTTCAGAGGAGTCCAAACTGACATTGGCATATTTGTTTGGTATGTACAAATATAAATATGTTTAAACTCATGTCAGGCAAAATCAACTAGACTTTAAAAATGAGGAAAGGTCAAACTATAAAAATCTAATTAAGTATATGTAAATAAAATATACATTTTTATTAGTCACATTTTCTTATTTTATTTTCTGGTGATCAGCTCCAAGGAGCTTGTGTTTCCAGCCAGTAATTTAATATTTTTATTCTTTTAATCATCTTAAGATTTGCTGTCTTTATCTTGTTTTGATTTTTAAGATTCTGTGCAGAAGCAGTGTGCTTGCTACATACACCATGCCAGACAAATCCACAGGTCAATTTCCTATGGAGGTTCCCACCTTCAAAACTCATAGCCACCCCTCCATGCTTCTGATGTGTGTTGCAGAAGAAATAAAACAAGCCAAGACTCCTGGGTTTGAGTTTTGCTCTACTGTTCGCCAACTTTCCAATGTTAGGTGTGCCACTAAATCTATTCGACCCTCAGTTTTTATCTGCAATAGTCTGGACTAGCTCCATGATTTCTATAGTGATGTACATAGGAATCATCCAGGGAGTTTCTAAGAAATAAAGATGCTGGGTTCTACCCCAACTATACTGAACTGGAATCCTGAGGGGAGCCTTGAAGAAGACGACCAATGAAGAGCCCTTCCTGCTCTTTGGCCTCCTGCAGCCCTCCCTTCCACCCACTATCTGCAAGCTCTGTGCCTGTCATCTTCTCAAGGAAGGGCCTGTCTTCCTCCTGTCACTTGAGAGCAAGCCTGGGATCCACCCTGCACCCAGTCCCACATCTCCTACTGCCCCCATGGGTTAGTCTTTCAAGCCATGCAAGCTGGGACGTGTGCCCTTTCTTCATCTGTGTCCTCTGGCTTCCTCCTCTGGCCTTTGCTTTGTCTTTCCACATGTCCCTCCATCTCTCTTCTACCACTCTGGGGCTAAGGCCATCAAAGCTTGAGATCCAGCTCAGGCTCTGTCCTGGAAGGGCACCAGAGGATTCTTGAATTATTCAGAGCAAAATCTCCACTGTACACTCTTATGGCTTGTGTCTAGATGTCCCCCCAAAGCCTCATGCATTCATAGGTGGGGCTTTTTCGGAGGTGGCTGGACCTACAGTGTGTGATGCTAGAATAAGGATGTGATGCTGGGATTGATTCATGGTGACTGATTCACACCTGGGTGCCACCCACCCTAAGGTCGGGTAGCTTGGATAAAATATAAGGGACAGAAAGAGGACTGCTGTAGTTGCTTGCTGCTTGCTACTTCCTTTCTTTGCTCCCTTCCTGCCTTCTGTCCACCATGAACTGTTTCTCCTCTGCGATGCCCCTCTGCCCTGCCGCCCTGCCTTGGAGCCAAATAATTATGGACTGAAACCTCTATAATCTGTGATATACAATAAACCTTTCCTCCTTTAACTTTGGATGTCAGGTATTTTGTCTCAGCAATGAGAGAAGTGACTAAGACACACACACACACACACACACACACACACACACACAAACACACCAGCAGCAGCAGCAGCAGTAACCTCCCAGAAGTATCAGCCACCTCTTACATCACAGCCTCAGTTGCTACCACCTTCTCTACTGGCAGCAGTTTGCCCTGGTGGTCAGCCCACTCAGCTCTAGCTCTATGACTTTGACCAAGTTATTTACCTTCCTGAATGTCCTCAGTTTCCTTGTCTGTAAGATGGGAATATGACAGTACTTATTTCTTTGAGGGGTTCTGAAATGTAAGTGCGGTAATCTATAAAAGTGCTAGAAATCAATCCTGAACATAGTAAGTGTTGTACATGCTACTATTCCCAGGGACAGAGAATGGAGAAGGGCGGCAGAGCACGAAGGGGACCCATGAGCTTTTGCAGGCAAAGACGTTCTGTCATTAACCAGGTATGCTGCAGGAAAAACTACCCAGTTACTTTTACCACAGTGACTGCTCCTGTGTGAGAAAGGTTTCAGACCCTGTGCCTCTTTCCTAAAGACTGAGAAGCCAAGTGTGGACTTTTTAAAATAATTTTTTAACTGAAAGTCACTCTTTCCCTGACCAACTTACACTTCCAATTGATGCTCAAACTAGGTGTCTTTCCTTGAACAGAAAGTGCACTTAGTTTTCCAGGAATATTTTTTGAAAAAAAAATTACTTTAAACCCACTATTAGCCTCTTCTTCCAAATCAAAAACAGAACTTGCATTGCAGTTGTGTAGGAAGAATAACTTCTGAAGTTCTATACCACAGTAGGATAGCTGTGGTTGACAACATTTAACTGGATATTTCCAAGTATTAATAGGGAGGATTTTGAATGTGCTCAATATCGAGAGATGATAATGTCAGAAGGGATGGACATGCTGTAATAATTATCCTGATCTGAGTGTTACACATTCACCCTGTGTCCCATAAATACTTGTAATTGTGTCAATTAAAAATTTTAGAATTTTTTTAAAACAATAAAACTTGTGTCATAGTCACCCAGTGATGTATTTACACTACAGATGTGTAGATATTTGAGACATTTAATTCATTTTCTCATTTTACAGGTACAGACTGAAACCCTAAGCCCAACTCATGTACCCAGGGTCCTGCATTCCCGGCATCACTGCCTCTTGGGCTCCAGCTTCATGCACTGCCCTGCACCCCATACAGCTCCCACAGGCTGCCAAGCCCCTCATCGTGGTACACACAGGTTCCACAGCATCTTCATATTTTACTGATGGGTTTGAAATCATTAGGAGTAAATTTATACTGGACCTGCAAATGGAAGATTGGGAGCCAGGATCATAAATTCATTTTAAAATTCTGGAGCACAGATTTGGGAAAAAAAATTATTTGAGAAGGATAAATGAAGGAAAGGAGGGGAAAACCCAGGAAACTAGTTAATTTAAATCAATGACTGGGAAAATAGTAACATATTCCATCATCATTTGACAAGAACCTTGTGAAAGAAGGCAGAATTTTTCATTTTAGACAATAAATGATAGAAATTAACCAGATTTCTCTTAAGATCACAACTTTACCTCAGAGGATAATGTGTTAGGCATTGTATTTCTATGCGTGTTGGACCTAATGAGAAATCAGCACAATTCTAACCTTCTCAGCCAAGTCCCCCAGCTCTGTCTACATAAACATAAACTTACTCAGGAGCCTGATAACCCAGGTGGATATTGGGCCGGGGATTTAGCTCAGTGGTTTCGCCGCCTGCTGCGCAAGTGCAAGGACCCGAGTTAGATCCCCGGTACCAAAAAGAAAAAAGAAAAAACAAAACAAAACAAACACACATTGTTGTGTCAGTGAGTGAAAGAGAGAGAGGGCCTCTCAGGCTTTGGCTCCAGGCTTTCGGCCAGGGGCTCTTTCATCTGTCAACATTCTCTGGGCTCTTGCTTCTGTGAATCCCCGAGGAGCTGGTGTGAATCACCCGAGTTAAGAAGCTTTCATTGAGGTATGGGCAGTGGAGCTTTCCTGGAACACAGAGGCACGCATCATATAATGTTGGGCTCGGCGTGGAGCTTAAAACCACGAGGTTGGAGCTCCTGCTTTCCTACACAAGAAGGCAGTCTCTCCCACTTCAGCCCAGAAAGTTCCCCAGTGCCAAATAAGTGTCCAGCTTGCGTGCTCTCTCTCCCCGGGACTGTGCCTGGAAACCGGCCTCTCAGATTCCCCTTACCTGATTCAAAGAGCCTCTTTGGCCTAAAAGCCAACCCTGGCAGTGACCCGCACGCACACACGCACACACACACACACACACGCGCACACACCGACAGCAGCCTCGGAGGTCACTCTGGACGGATTCCCTACACCACAGGTGAAGCCGGGAGCAGCTCTCACCGGGGCTGTGGGTGCGGTGGGCGGGCTGGGTGCGCACCCCACCTTCTCGCCTCTTGGGGACAGTGCTGCGGCGGATTCCACGCGGTCTCGAGTGTCCTCAGCGAGACTGAGCCCCTGTGGCCCTCTGGACACCTGCTCAGGCACGAGCCCCGTACTCCGGTTGTACCCAAATGCTCGCCTCAGGTCCGCTGGGGGGAAACCCAAGCTCGAACGACTTCTTCCTGTTTTCTTCTGAAAATTCCTGACTCTGTTCCCATTCGTCTTTCTGCGTTTCAGGAGAGGCAGCACCCAGCCCAGCCAAGCCCTGCCCCTCTCCTCTCCCGCCTCGCCTCGAACAGTCCCTTCCTCCTCCCGGTGCCTCCTCGCCTGCACAGGCTCCCACCACAGATCCCGACCGGCCTCCGGGTGCCTCCGGGTTTCCCCTCCCTACCCAACCCCCGCCTTCAACTGCAGCCCCGCGGTGCGCGGCGAGGACGTTTCCACCAGCGACAGCCTGGCCTCCAAGGGTGCACCTGGTACCGCGCGGGTGTCCCGCGGCACACCCTCTGGGGGTGCGAGGGCTCTCGGTGGCCTCCACAGAGGACGTGAAGGGCCCGTTTCCCGGAACGGCCGTGCCGCTCAGCCGCTCAGCCGCGCGCGGGACTGGGAGCCGCTTCATTGACTCGTCTGCCCCGAGGATCCCGCTGCTTCCTCACGTGCGTATCCCCACGTCTTTGCCATGCACGTCCTGACTGCTCCGGGAAGATGGTCTCCTGGGGGGACCTCAGGGTCCCCGCCCACCAGCCTTTTCCCGGTCCCTCCTGGATATCCCCGCACTCTTGCAGCAGAACCCCCAGTCTTCTCGTGGCATCTCCTGTGAGCTCTGCTGCTCCCCCTCTAAAGCGTGACGAGCCCCTCTCTAATCCTCCTTTCTCCAAGACACCTTTGCCCTGCTTTCTCTTGTCCCCTCAAGGTCACCTCTGTGGCCTCGTCCGTTCTCACTTCAGCTATCATCTTCCGAGGGGTGGCCCGGTCCCAGGTTCTCTGCCAACCTCTCAGTACCTCCAGCGGTGTCTGGCTTCCCTGAACCTCTGTGCTTTGTCGCGCTCCCCAAAACCCCACGGGAGCAGCGGGACAGGCAGGATCCTCTGTGGTGGAGCTGGGGCCTCCTTTACGACCGCTCCCTCCCTCCATGCGGGGTGAAGCGGGTGCAGGTCGCGGCTGGTCTTAGCCTCACTCCTCCTCCTCGGAGCCACGGAGCCACCTGCACTGGGCGCAAGCTCAACGCCTCATATTCGAGTACTCTCGCCTTTCCTTCCTGCCAACGCAATCAGATGCCAAGAGCTCCTGCTTCTGATTCGCCTCCCACGTGTCTCTTCCTGGCTCATGCCAATGGAGCTGTGCCGGTCCAGGCCCTCGGTTAGACTCCAGCAGTGGCTTCCCCGCTGGCCTGCAGGGGCCCGCTCTCTCCTCCCCACTGTTCTGCGTGGTGAGACTCGAGTTATCACTCTCAAAATGCTTCAGCGGCTCCTTGTTCCCTACAGAATAAAGCACAAATTCTGCTGCTTAGTTTTCAGGCTCATATAACCTGGCTCCAACTGTCTTTTTTTCTTTTCACTGAAAATTCTTCTTAATGAGGTGACAGTCACATAACAAAATTAACCAATTTTGTTCATTTTGAATGAATAAGTCAGCAGCCTTTAGTGCATTCACAATGTTGTGTTACCACAAGCTTTCTCTAATTTCAAGATTTTTTCATCAAACCCTAAAGAAACCCTGCATCCACTAAGTAATCACTCCGCAGTTTTCCCTCCCCCAGCTCAAGCAAGTCTGATCTGCTTTCTGCCTCTGGGGATTCGCCTATTCTGGATGATGACTCTACATAGAATCATGTGGTATGAAACTGCGGGAGGCCTTTGTGACAGGCGTCTTTTGCTTCATCCTGTCCCCAGGTTCACCCCGACTGTAGCATGTGCTGGGACCTCACCCCTGTCTGTGGCTGAACATTATCCCAACCCAAGGATGTCCCACATCTCCCTGGTCGCCTCAACAGATGAAGGACATCTGGGTTGTCTCTACCCGTGGCTATTCTGACTAATGCTGCTAACACCGTGTGTATAGAAATGTCTGTGTGGACAGGCACTTTCACTTCTCCTGGGTCCATAACTGGGAGTGGAGTTGCGAGCTCACATGGAAACTCCGCGCTTCCTTTTCTGAGCAGCTGCCGCACAGTTTCCCACTGCACCTGTGCCACCACACCACCACTCACAGTACACAAGGGTTCTGCTTTCTCTCTGTCCTCTCTGACACTCCCCCCTTTTGCTTCTCCTCCCCCTTTTAATTTTAGCCACTCTAGGGGGTGTGCGCAGCAGCATCTCATTGCGCTTGAGCTCTACATCTCCTTGGTGACCAATGACAATGAACATCTTGTGTGCTTTTTGGGAATTTGTTTATGGTCTCTGGAGAAATGTCTATTCAAGTCCTTTCCCCACTTCTTAACTAGGTTGTCTTTCTGTTTTTGAGTTTCAAGAATTCTTTATATATTCCAGATATTAAACCCTTATCAGATATATGATTTGCAAGTATTCTCCCTCCCATTCTGGAGGTTGTCCTTTAACATTCTTTTTGTTTAATCTTTTTTTTTTTTTTTTTGGTACAAGGGATTGAACTCAGGACCTTGCGCTTGCCAGGCAGGTGCAGTGCCACTGAGCTAAATCCCTGGCCTGATGTAAAATGTTTTTTAAGGAGAAGAAAAATGAAGGGATTAAGGAGAGCTGTATTATGCTTTTGAAGATGACTTTCTATACTTATACACATTTTAAAAAACCAACCTCAAGGGGCATGGCAGCTCACACCACTAGTCCCAGCACACAAGAGGCTGAGGCCAGAGAATCACCATCAGTTCAAGGCCATCCTGGACTACATAGTAAGTTCAAGGCCAGCCTGAGCTACATAGTGACACCCTGTCTCAAAACAAACAAACAAAAATAAAATAAAATAAAAAACCAAACTCTCCTAAATATCTCTGGGAGGGAGGTGTTTTACATATCCTCAGACCTGTGTGTGCCCATTCACAGGTCCTGTATCTTTCTAGAAACATCCTGACCATGACCCACATGTGACACAGCTCAGCCAGTAGATTGAGGCTTCCTGAGCATAGAAGAGGAGGCTTACGGACCACCATACCACTGCTCCCAGTGCAGAAGAGGTGAGCCACCTGGGCATCAGCAGCACCGCACCCACCCCCTCATCAAAATGAGAAGACACATAAACAAGTCTCAAAACCAGACTTCCAGATCACCTACAGCAACCCCAAAGGGAAATGAGATGGAACACTCTGATACTCA